ACTGTGCTCCCCGTGTACACTGTGCTCCCCGTGTACACTGTGCTCCCGGTATACGCGGTATTCCTGGTGTCTGTCTGTTAGGAGTGAGTTTGTATCTCTGAGATTGACCTCACTGCGAGGTTGTGTTAGAATTTTACAAAGGAGGTTGTGTGTGGTAAGTAAATACTGACTGATTCAGCTCTGGGTTTGGGTTAGTGTCAGGGTTAGGGTTAGGTTCTGTTGTATGGTATAGGTCGTTGACTCACACTTTGATTCTGTATCTGTGTCTGTGTTTCTGTCTGTGTTTGTATTTCTGTCTCCACCCCTCTCTGTCCCTCTCCGTCCCTCTCCACCCCTCTCTGTCCCTCTCCGTCTCTCTCCATCCCTCTCCGCCCCTCTCCGTCCCTCTCCGCCCCTCTTCGTCCCTCTCCGCCCCTCTCCGTCCCTGCCCAGCTGATTGAGGATTTGCGGAAGGAGCTGGAATACCTGCAGTTGTATAAGTTGGAGGCGGAGAAGCCAGGATGGAGCCGGGGCCCAGCCTGCACTGCGATCGAGTTGAGCTTCCGTAATAAGGAGATGGAGCTTGAGTATGAGGCCAAACACCTGAAACAGGTAACTCCTGGATTGGCTCCACCTCCCTGGTATCATTGTGTCATGTGATACAATACCCATTCCTCATTGGACCTGCTCCTGTAACAGGCTGATCCCACAGAATCCCACTGGCTGATCGAGGGATTCCTGTCGGCTGACACTCTTTGTAGATGTTGTAGATGAGATGGATCTGGGTTGGGTTTGGCCATCATGCCTCCACAGTTGAATATTTGCTGGCTCCTATGTTGCAATCCAGGGAGGTCATCCCCAACTTGATCTATTCTGGGATCACTTGTAGATCTCTGTCAATTTCATTTCTTTTGAACTGGAATGAAGTATCTCAGAATGGTTCTTGTCCTAAAACCATAGGATAGAGAAACATTCAGATTATCGAGTGTCTCTGCCATGTGATCAGGGCTGATCTGTTTCTCAACCGCCCCATGCTCCTGTCTTTACTCTGTAGCCCTGGATGCTTGGTCTTAAATCCCACCCTCCCCTCATCTTTGTAAACGCTGTGGAGTACAGACCCAGAGTCCTGATGTCTGATTGGTGGCTTCAGGCTCCAGCCTGGTGTGGACAGTGGCCTGAGGGGAAGGTTAGTGACAGAGAGCTCTGAGGGTCAGTGTTGGCTATTGACAGTGTTTTTGAGAGGATCAGTGTCTGTGATCACAGGGAACAGTGTGCTCCCAGCCCCTTCCAACCTGTTTTACTGCAGATGCTACTGCCTCTCACATTGAGCTGTGATTTATTGTCTCCCCACGCAGTGAGTGACATGACACTCCCAAACTGTCACCTCTTTAACAGGAGAACCTGAGATTACGAGAGCAGAATGATGATTTAAATGGACAGATCCTCAGCCTGAGTTTGTACGAAGCGAAGAATCTGTTTGCAGCTCAGACCAAGGCTCAGTCACTGGCAGCAGAAATCGATACTGCCACCCGAGATCAGGTAAACGAGCCAGATACCAAAGGAATGATGGTTGGAAACTGCAGGGTTCAACACAGGGACCGTGTACACAGTGTAGAGGGAGCTTTACTCTGTATCTAACCCCATGCTGTCCCTGTCCTGGGAATGTTTGATGGGGGATGGTGTAGAGGGAGCTTTACTCTGTATCTAACCCTATGCTGTCCCGGTCCTGGGAGTGTTTGATGGGGGGGACAGTGTAGAGGGAGCTTTACTCTGTATCTAACCCTATGCTGTCCCTGCCCTGGGAGTGTTTGATGGGGGACAGTGTAGACAGAGCTTTACTCTGTATCTAACCCTGTGCTGTCCCTGCCCTGGGAGTGTTTGATGGGGACAGTGTATAGAGAGCTTTACTCTGTATCTATGCCTATGCTGTCCCTGCCCTGGGAGTGTTTGATGGGGACAGTGTAGAGAGAGCTTTACTCTGTATCTATGCCTATGCTGTCCCTGTTCTGGGAGTGTTTGATGGGGACAGTGTAGAGGGAGCTTTACTCTGTATCTATGCCTATGCTGTCCCTGCCCTGGGAGTGTTTGATGGGGGACAGTGTAGAGGGAGCTTTACTCTGTATCTAACCCCGTGCTGTCCCTGCCCTGGGAGTGTTTGATGGGGGACAGTGTAGAGAGAGCTTTACTCTGTATCTAACCCCATGCTGTCCCTGTCCTAGGAGTGTTTGATGGGGGACAGTGTAGAGAGAGCTTTACTCTGTATCTAACCCCATGCTGTCCCTGTCCTGGGAGTGTTTGATGGGGACAATGTAGAGGGAGCTTTACTCTGTATCTAACCCTATGCTGTGCCTGTCCTGGGAGTGTTTGATGTGGGGACAGTGTAGAGGGGGCTTTACTCTGTATCTAACGCCGTGCTGTCCCTGTCCTGGGAGTGTTTGATGAGGGGACAGTGTAGAGGGGGCTTTACTCTGTATCTAACCCTGTGCTGTCCCTGTCCCTGGGGAGTGTTTGATGAGGGGACAGTGTAGAGGGAGCTTTACTCTGTATCTAACCCTGTCTCCTTCACCTTGTAGCTAATGGAAGCTCTTCAGGAGCAGGAGGAGATTAACTTGCGATTGAGGCAGTACATGGACAAAATAATTCTGGCTATTCTGGATCACAATCCCTCCATCCTGGAGATTAAGAAATAAAGGCCGAGGGGCACACTGCCTGGAACATGGGTTCGAGTCCAGCCGTGCTCGTTGCTGAGTGATGGTGGACTGATATCTTGACATTAATATTCATTTCCTGGCTACATGTGAATTTAAACTAATATCTGCTGTGTTGGAGGTTTATTTCTGCACTTTTCAATCCTGTGAAAATAATGAGTTTGATCGGGAAGATGTTGACATTTTTTGATGCGTGATCATCTCCACAGGAGTGACTTATTCCAGTGGAAGTGTGTAAGCAGGAGGATTGTCCCAGTGCTGGGTGAACAGGAAGGTTTGTGACTGACTGGTTACAATGGAAGCACCTTTCTCTGCGGTGAAATTGTTAAAGCAGTCCCTGTGGGGGGGTGTCTGGGGTTGGGGGTTGCCGGGGGGTGAGGGGGGTGCAGCGTGTGAGCCGTTGGTAATTCACATCCTTCTCATTCAGCTTGTAGTAGGCAGATAGTTTCTGAATGGAAGCTGCCTGGGGCCAGGGTTGTTTCATTGTCTGGTCAATTTAAAAACTGTTCTGTATGATTACTGCCTGAGGAACAGAGGAAGGGCCTTGTTGTGAGGTTATAGCAGTTTGTGTTTCGACGCTGAGCGACAAACTGGTACAATGCAGTTTGGTAGCTGGTTATTCCTCAGACATGTATGTGCCGGTTCTATTGAGGATTGACATTCAACTGCTTGAGAGAGGACACAGACACTCCCTGAGACTCCAAACAGCTGAGGACCGTGACAAACTCCGAAACAACCCCAGCCCACAACAAGAGAATCTCAGATAAACTCTCTCAACTCCAGACAGTCCTCAACAGGTTACAGACAGACTCCATTCAAGGCATGTTGACCCAGACAGTCCCACCAGCTTTCAGCTGCTCACTGTCTGTGAGGTTAAATCTTGGAGAGTAACGAACAGACACTGCCCCACCCCAAGTCAATTAACAGAAGAGTTTGACTGCAATGTGCAGAGGCAGAGAGAGCTAGAGAGAGGCAGAAATCATTGGAGAGGAGAGAGATTGGGATATTAATGGAATGTGACCTTTTTGTGTTTTAATGTCCGGGTTTTGTCGTTCCTTCAGCAGAGATAGTCTGGAATATTCCACAGTAAAGCAATGTTGCACTTTTATATTTAATAATGTTATTCTAGATTACTAGGGGAAATGGTGTTAGTTAACCAGTATAATGTGAATCACTGCTGGCTTTGTGGCATTATCATTAGTGAGTGGCTCTGTTTCTTAGTGTGACTGTGAGCTAGTGTGAGTGTACATGTGAGTGTGAGCTAGTGAGTGTGAGTTAGTGTAAGTGCGAATTAATGTGAGTTAGTGTGCGGTATGAGTGTGTGAGAGTTAATTTGAGTCTGAGCTAGTGTGAGTGTGAGTTAGTGTGAGCTGGTGTGAGCGGGTGCGAGTGTGAGTTAGTGTGAGTTGGTGTGAGCTGGTGTTAGTGTGAGCTGGCATGAGTGTGAGTTAGTGTGAGCTGGTGTGAGTGTGAGCTAGTGTGAGCGGGTGTGAGTGTGAGTTAGTGTGAGC